CCAGTAGGGGATGTACGAGAGGCAGCCACAGATTGATGTTTCTCTCCCTCTCTTTCTCCTTCCCTTCCCTTCTCTAAAAATAAATAAATAAATACAATCCTTTAAAAAATGGACTTGACCTGTAGATTCCACAGAAAGAAGTATACAGGTGGTATGGAGGCATGGCAAACAGACTGAAGTCTAGGGAAATGGACTCCCCTACATGGACTGCCCCACAGTATCTGATCCTTTGATCTCCCTCTCTCTCCCTCTCTCTCTCTCTCTCACACACACACACATACACACACACTCACTCCCCTGGAATAACTATCCTGAAATGTCAAGGATTTGTGGCCACTGATGGTCACTGATTCCTTATTTCCCAAGGTTACAGAGGGAATGTGGGAATGCGATGGAAGGTTGCTGAGGCAGCACCCCAGACTTTCCCTCATCTTACTAATAGGGGAGCCAGAAGGGGAGCCCTGTGTCTGCTTGGGCTGAATGAGCACTTGGCCCAAGTGCTGGAGCACTATCCCTGAGTCCTCACTGCCCTGAAACTGAGCCCTGGGCTGGAGTGTCTCCCACAGCAGAGCAAGAGGGAGGGAAGAAAGGGGAGCCAGGCTGGGCCCCATTTTCTGATCTGGAGGGAGGAAGAGAAGTACCATCTTCTTACTCCATCTCCCACCTCCTTGGCTTATGGGGGCACCCCAAAGGATGCTCCACAGCTCTACCTGGAGATCAATAGCTAGACACCCTCTCCTTTCCCCACCTGAGAAAATTGGTTGAAGGCCTTGCCTCCCTCCTCCCAACCTCTCCACTCCCCTGAACCCCACCCCACAGAAGCTGTGGCACTGACGGGAACCATGCAGGAGAACAGGCCACTTAGTGTTATCTCAGCCTCTCCTCTGGAAGCGTCTGCTCCTCAGAGCAAGCCTGGGGCGTGTTCCTCCTGGGGAGAGCGTCCACAGGAGGAACCAGAGGACGTTAGGCAGAAGATAGATTGCATTAGGATTTATTATTATGTTACACAGAGAAGTGGTGTGCCAAAATCTCTTTTATAAGTGACCATATCTTCTGGAAGAGTTTGAACTGGTTGAAGGTTTGGAGCAGTGCACGCATGAACTCTGGGGAAGCTCAGGTTTGGACATGCTGGTTTGCCTGGGGCGGGCCAAGTTTATACCTGTCTGACGCCTTTCATTTCAAACAGTATCTTGGTTTGCACAATAAATTCTGGTCCCTCTGCCCGCAGGGACATGTAACCAATCTCCGGAAAGAACATAGAATGTGGGGACCGGAGAGCAACAAGTAGAACCCACCCTCAGAGCCCAAATTCTACCCTGGCCCCTCTCAGCGTCCCTGGGCCCAGCCCTTTGTAGGTGGCTCAATGGGAAGATTTTTTCCTTTTCTCTCCTCCCTTGGCTTATAATTCTTATGAAAGATGAGAAAATCAGATACTTCTAGGAGAATGGCTGCCTGTTCTGATGGAGAGAATGTCATTAGGCTTGAATACAAACAAGCCTACGAGGTAGCTTGTTCTCCTGGCTCCCTGTGATCAAGGTAGTGAGACCATGGAGAACCCGAAGGGAGGAAGAGGCCAGGGAGGGTAAGGGCCCAGAGAAGACTGCAGTGGTGGCAGGGTTGCTGCTGCGGGCCCTGTTTGTGGGGTCAGGGCTGCACCCAGAGCCCAAATGGCCTTTAACCATCTGAGCTGGACCAGCACCTTGCCCACCACGATGGCTGCTGAAGGAGGAGGGTGGGGAGGCCACTGCTGGCTCTTTCTGAGCCTGGACCACTGGCCAGGGCTGTTTAGGGAGTCTTGGACTATTCTTACCTTCTTTCAATCTGCACCCCATTCCATTGGTCAGCCGTTTCCTGGGCAGCAGATAGGGGACCAGAACAGGCCTGTCCTGGAATGGGTGGAGCCGCTTAGTGAGAGGGACATTATGTGCCGGGAAATGCTTCATTAGGTGATTCCATCCTTGAGTGAACGTCACAGAGCACACTCTCAGAAACCTAGATGGTCTTGCGTTCGGTGCAGTGAGGCTGCACGGCGTATAGCCTGCTGCTCCTTGACTATGGGCCTGAGCAGCACACTCCTGTAGTCAGTTGTAACATGTGGTAGTAAGTGTTTGTGTATCTAAACAGACTTAAATGTAGAAAAGGTACAGTAAACACTGGCAGGAAAGATAAAGATAGTACACCTGTATAGGGCACTTACTGTGAACAGAGCTTGCAGGACTGGAAGCTGGCTTAGGTGAGTCGGTGAGTGAACGTGAAGGCCTAGGACACTACCGTCCATACTGCAGACTCTACAGACAGTGCACACTTGGGCTACACTGAGTTTATAAAGCAACACGAGATTAAACGGAAGAGAGAAAAGGGTGCAGCCAAGAAATGCGGTCAATTTGGGACATGTGAGGCTGCTGCTGGCATAACGGCACACAGTCTTACAGCAAACTTCATTTTTTATGAGCAGAAAGAGCATGCTTTAACATGATGGTGAAAATACAGTAACTACCTTGACCAGAGACATAGTTGTCTATTATCGTCTATGTACTGCACATAATTGTTATGTGCTATACTTTTATAAGCTGGCAGTGCAGTAGGTCTGCTCTCACCGGCATCAGCACAGACACCTGAGTAATGCATTGCACTACAATGTTCTGATGGCTGAGACATCACTAGACAAAAGAATTTTGTATCTTCATTAGAATCTTATGGGACCACCATCATGTCTGTGTGGTCCCTTGTTGACTAAATGTCGTGATGTGGCATGTGACCATGCTGGGTGCCGGAAATACGATGGCACTGGATCCCGACCCTCCCTGTGAGTGCAGTGGGTTTGTGACAATGTTCTGAACTGAGGATATGGGAGTAATGGTTCTTCCTGCGCTGGGGTGGGGGCGAGGGGGTGGTATCTGCAGAAAGGAGCAGCATTTGAGCGCAGTCTTGAGGATGAAGCAGCCTCTTCGTGGTGAGCAAGATGGGAAGGGCTTTCCAGGCCAAGGAGAGTGAGTGCTTGAACAAATGTCTGAGGGGTCTGAGAAATGGGTGCAGTTGGGTGGCATTGGGAGCTGGTGCGGGCTGCGGAGTCAGTGCTGAAAGGTGGGATGAGAAAGCCCTCTGCAGTCTCACAGGCTGGCAGAGTGGTCTTGGGCCAGTTGTTTTGCTTCTCCCGGCCATAATTTATTTACCTGTATAATGGGAATAATGTGACCTACTTCACAGGGTTTGGGAGAATTAAAGGACATACTAGATGTAAATCAACCAGCGTGGTGTCTGGCATATACATGCTAACAAAATGTAAATTATTGGCACGGTCTCTGCCACTCTTAATAAAGGTGGGCTGTTCTTTTCCAAAATATATGGCTTGAGTCACTGGAGTGAGCTGGCAATGATCCACTCGCAAAGCAGGTCTGGCCTTCTGACTCCATTTGGGAAGATACTATCTGATACAGGATGCTAATGGAAGAAAACTCATGTGGCTGCCTGGCTTGGGGATCTGCTGCCAGCTTTCTCGGACAGTTACATCATGTCAGCGGTGTGGAGCTCGACATCAGGAAATGCATTTGTTAATTACTTTTCATTCCACAAATATTTATTGCAAACCTGGTACGTGTCAGGTCCTGGATCCAATGTCTTAGTAAGAATATGTACGTAAAGGTGATGGAGAGAGGCAGAGAGAGGAGAGGAAAAACTCAATTCTTTCCAAAACTGATTTTATAAAATCTGGAGGCCACAAGTTAGCTGCTTTTTGTTTCCCTGTACCCAGAAACTTGGTGAAGGTGGGGGAAGAGTTCTTCCTATGTGTCTCTTTCATTGGAGTGTGAGTGCCTCAAGAGTAACCACTGTGGGGTTGAGATCACAGGTATCCATTTGGTTGTCGAATAGATATTTACTGAGCACCTACTATGTGCCTAGCACTCTTTGATGCACCAGCTCTTTGAATGGTCTTTGAGGTATGAAGGACTCTCTTCTCGTCAAACAGACTGGGAAGGAGAAAGGTGGAAAACCCATGGACCTGCGATGTTGTCCACACTGGAATCAAGTGCTAGTCAGGGGAGTGAGCGTGGGGAAAGGCTGGGGCCTTGCTGCTGTCCTCCGACTCCCTCTCTAGGGGAGTGGGCTGTTTCCCTAACAGACAGCCTATTGGACGCTCCCATCCTGGATGTCACATTTCACTGTGAGGGGGTTTCATTCTGTTTATGGAAGGAGCATCTACTGCCACACACACAGTCTCTACAGAAGAAAGTTTATCTTCTAGTATTTCATTGGAGGAAATGGCTGCCTCAGACATGTTGAAGAGACTAAAGAATGATGAGATTAATTTGATAGCAGCTGTAGCCCTCACGTGTGAGTACTTATAATGTTCCAGGCAAACAAGTGGTTTGCTTTCATTATCCCATTGAATCCCGACAACAACCCTGTCAAGTTTGCACTGCCCTCCCTGTTTCACAGACCAGACAAATTGAGACCCAGAGAATGGGTCAGTAACCGGGCCACAGTCACAGATCCTGCAGACACTGTGGAAGAGCTGGGAGTTGCACCGTATTGCTCAGGCTTCAGGCGCCTTTCCTGGTGAAGGGGCGAACCTGTTCTCCTGGATCTTCCCCTCCCCTCCCCTCCCTTCCCTTTTCCCACCCTTCCCTTCCCTTCCCTTCCCTTCCCTTCCCTTCCCTTCTCCTACTACCAGTCCCTCCCTTTTTCTCTTTCTTAATGATTCTTCAATTAACCAAACCAGGCTTAGAAAACCCAGATGAGCTTTCTCTAGTGCTGGGGCTATTTGTAGCAAGGCATCCACCCTGGGGCTGCAAGGGTTAACTCTGGCCTGGTGCTTCAGAGATGGATGCCTTGGCCTTGGGAGGCGGCTATTAGTCCTCTTTTCTAATTAAAAATCGCCACCACTGGCTTTCATCCCCGTACTAACTAGAAGAGTGTGTGTGTGTGTTTGTGCACACAGCTCTTTATCTCCATTTCCTGTTTCATATTTAATCCGGCATGTTTTCCAGTGTGTGGATGTGGAACACGTGTAAGGTTGGGACACGGTCTGTTAGTAATCATTCCTGCATTTTGGGGCTGGTTTGCTCCCATTGAGCCCCACCAAAGGCTTGTGAATCCCAATCTTCCTGCCTCATGTAAGTTCCTTTGTCCTGATCACCCTGTTTTCTGAAGGGACTGCCTTCGGAGCAGTGGCTTTCCTTGCAGGTTGCTCTCCAGAATGTCTGGGATGGTTCTTGCATGGGCGGGGGGTGGGGGTGAGTGGGGAGGGTGGGGAGGGCGCCCCACGGAACTGTGACTAGGGGTTAACAGAAAGACTGAAGGCTCTGGGAAAGATGAACCCCACCGGGGGTCAGCTGGCTTGGGGTACAATTCAGCTTTAGACCTTTTTGTTCTTCGTCCAGGCTGGAGAGTCCAGTGAATGTTGCGTGTTCACTTTCTGACCTTTCTCTGAGGTTTGGACTGGCCTCTCAGGTAGGCTCAGCAGCACAGCCTCGCAGACCCCCACTGCGGAGTGTGAAGCTGGGGCCACAGGGAGAAGGATGGCACTGGGGACTCCGGACGCTCACCTTCTCGTCGGCTCTTCTTGGCCTAGAAGTGGGTCTGATGAGGCAGAAGTCCTGTTGAGCTTTCAGTGTCCCAGGGACCCCTCCCAGCGTCAAGAGTGAGAGTTGGGGTTCTGAGCTGCTGTCCAGGGGCCTGCCCAACAAACACCCTGGTCTCTCTGGTGGTAGCAGTTCTCATCCTGCTAATTGAGCTTCAGCATTCTCCTGGGTGTTTCTGAGCCACTGAATTTTTTTTTGCAATTAGACTTTGATAGCCAAGAATTATCTTGTGGATGGAAGGGAAACAACGGCATTGTAAAATGAGAGCTGGAAGGAGGCATACCAGTTGGTCTGGTCTGAGAGGGGCAGGACCTGGGGCCTTGAAGCCTTAGGATGTGCCTGGGGGAGGGGCAGGGGAGCCCTCGGTTCTGTGTGGTGTGCGCTGTGCAGTTTTTAGGGAGTGGCTCTCTCTGTGCCCTTCACAAAATTCCCAAGGAGTCTGGGGCCTCTTCAGAAAGTTGTGAATCGTCATTCTGATCTCCCCCCGCCTCACCAAAGACTGTTGTAGAAAAAGTCCTAGCAGTATAGGGCAGAGGGCGAGGTTCAGAGGGCACAGAGGGGACATGGGTGGGTCTGAGTGCTTCTGGATCTCACAATTGGCTCTGGCGGTGGGAGGGGGCACTTGTAGAAGGTTAGATGAGGTAGAAATAAATAGCTGTATTTCTTTTCAGACAAGAGTAATCCATTTTTATTATTTGCTCTTAGCATTGAGGATATACAGTGAGGAGTCTCAACTATAAAGAATTACAGCCAGCCCAGACGCCCTGACTTTGAATAATCCATTATAAGAGTACAGTTCCTTTTATCACAATATTCTTATCTTCTGTTTGTTTCTGAGCTGAACAGAAATGCCCTAAGCTACACCCCAGCTGTAGAGTTTGTAGACCAAAGGCTACTGTTTTCTTCCTGCAGGAACCCTGGGGTGTTTGGGGGTTAAAAGGCCTGGGCCAGCCATGTGTGTTTAAAAAACAAGGCTGATTCTGCAGCCAGTGGCTCCAGCCTGACTCCATCCTGCTGTTAATGGAGGACAGAGGACCACTTATAGCTTCCTCTTCACCCCATAACAAATAACCCGGTGCTCCCCCAGGCCTTCCTGCGCTCCCGCCCCCACTGCCCTCCCTGTGGTGGCAGTAGCAGGCCTGTTCCGAGTCTGGTTTCTCGGCAGGGCCCTGCGGTCAGCCCCCACAAAGTGTCAGTCCAGTTCCTCTCTCTGATAAGACCCTGACTAACTGCATTAGCAGGGTGGTGAGCAGGTTTGCCTCTCCTCTGTCTTGTCTTTGGCCACTCTAGAGCCTCCTGGACAGGGCGGAGACCTGTCCTGCAAACAAAGCTTAGTTCAGCTGTGAGCACAGGCTCCCATGGCACCTCTTTTGGGAAGTCTTCCTTGACTGCTCTAGCCCAGGTGGGTTGCCTCTTCGTTGCATTCACTTAACGCATGATTTCTCATGCACTCTTTTAAAAAGTCCTTTATCACAAGCCTTGACATACATACAACGGCTTGCAGTCGTTGCGTCCAGCAGTGCTTCTTACACGTGTGAGTTCTTTTTGCCAAGCAGACCTTTAGCTGCCTGGGCAGAGCCCATTCTTACCTGAAAGGGCATGTGGACTTTGAACTGTGACCCACCTGGGTTCAAACACTGGCCCTGCCATTCATTTGGGTGACATGTGGAAAGCTGCCTATCCATTCTGGACTTGAGTGTCCACATTATGAACTGGGAAGAATGACACCCACCAACCTGCCTGGGCTGTGAAAATCAGAAGTGCCGCGTATGTGGTCCGGGTTGCTGTAGGCGCTCAGTGAAGTCACAACTGAAATGAAACCAGGCTCATCCTAAATTCTCTGGAGGTCAGTGACTGGGTTAAAAAGGCTTAGAAATCCATTTGTCATCTAATGAAGAAATCAAAAACTAGAAGTTTCTGCCTCCTTCTTTGCCCCCCAGATCGCTTTCGTTCCAGAAGGAACTACTGTTAATGGTTTGGTTTGTGTGCATTTGTCTAAATAATACATATTTTCATATAAACATTGTTCTGAAATTTGCTTTCACTAACTTGCCTTGGCAGCCTTCCCCTGTCACTACATTCAGAAATACTTCAGTCTTCTCAACTGTGTAGTGGTCCTGGAACAGTGGGGCCCTGACTTAGGGACCAGTTCTTCTGTGGGTGGCCTTTCGGTTGTTTCCAGTTTTTCTCCATTCACACAGGGTGGTGGCGAATGCTTTTCTGTTTTCTGTGGCCACGGAGCAGAGCCCTCAGAAGGCAGCGACGTATGTCTTCCTATTCCTGTGGACGGCCTTGGTGTGGCAGCTTTCAACAGTTCTCACCTCGTGACGCACAGGAATGACTACAGTTCAGCGGCACACCAAAATTACACTTTTTGCTGATCTGACCGAAAAAGTAGGTGTAATTTTGATTCATTCACACCAGACGGCTATTGTTGTGTTAGCTATTGTCACTCTTTATTTGGCAGTCTAAGGGAAAAGAGGTAAGTGCTCCTGACTAAATAGGTATTACAGTTTTAAAAATTTTTGCAGCACACCAGTTGAAAATCGCTGCCTCAGTGGTTCTTTTGCCCGTGGTCTTGGCAATGATGGAGCGTGCGAAAGAGCTCACATGACTGGCAGCTGGTGCTGGCTGCTGGCTGGGAACTGAGCTGGGGCTGTACCCGGAGCACCTATGTACCCTCTGACTGGTCTCTACCCGTGGGTCAGGTTTCTCACAACGTGGGCCTGGGTTCCAGAATGTCAGTTCCGCCGTGCACTGTTGATCCAGTTCAGTCACAGGGCCAGCCCAGAATCGAGGGTGAGGGACAAGCTCCACCTCGTGATGTGGGGGCAGCGTGTGTGCCCGAGCAGGGACGGGGCATGGAGTGGTTGGAGGCCGTTTCTGGAGACTGAATCCTATAAATGTATGCATATGCATATGAATATGAATATAGGGAGGAAGGGTTACAGTTTATAGGGAGGAAGGTTTATAGGAAAAGTAGGTTTACAGTTGTTTGTATAGAAAATAGTGCAATAATTAGTAAGTAATAACACAAGAATGAACTGTTTCACATACAACTGTAGACCTTCTTTTGCCCCGCCCTGTGTGTGTGTGCGCGCATGCGTGCATGCACACATATATTCCTCTTCTTCATGCGTCTTTGTAAATAGATGGGATTGTTTTTGTAGGTTCATTCCTAGAAGGGAGTTGTTGGTTCAAAATATACAGATGTTTCTAGACGGGAGGGAGTTGGGGGCTGGGTGAAGAGGTGAAAGGGACTCTGGAGTACAGGTTGCAGTTATGAAAACCGCTGAGGGGATGTAAAGTACAACATAAGGAATGTGGCCGTGGTCCTGTAATCCTGGTGATAACTGTGTGGTAACGATGGGCGCAGACTTAGTTGAGGTGATCACTTTGTAAGGTATAGAAATGTCTAATCACTGTGATGTACACCTGAAATTAATGTAATATTCTATGTCAACTGTAACTGGAAATAAATTAATTTTTCAAAAAAGACCTGCACATCTCCAATCTGGACAGTGACAGCACAGTTGCCTTCGACGAGGCTGTTCCAACGACACTGTCCTCAGGGAGGAGCACGGGTGGTGGGGCGGATGGCATTCGTCTCTCCCTGCCCCCACCCGTGCTGGCGTCATCAGTTGTTTTCATCCTTGTCGATCTGATGGGTGAAAAACTGTCTGGTTTTCACTATTAGTGGCATGAAACATCTTCACAGTGTTTCGTTCTTCTTTATACTCGAGAGATTAATTTGTGCTACACCCGTAAATGCCCTATTCCTCTGGCACCGTCAGAGAAACAGGGAGTTGGTGCGGGGGCCTGTAGGGAGCAAAGGCCCCCTATGAGGACTCTGAATCACGGCCCCCCAAACTGCTCTGCTGCTTGTTACCTGCTTTTGAGAGGGTTTCACAATGTTGGTGAGCAAATTATTAACCTTGTCCTATCTTCAGGCTCATTACTTAGTTGGAAAGCTTTTTCAGAGGGCCCTGTAATCCCCAGTTACAGAATGTTCTGTGCTACATGGGGAATGGGAGACCAGCTCTGAACTCTGAGCCCGGGCGGGACTACAAAGGCCTGGTTGGGAATGAGGACGGAGTGAGATCAGGGGATGAAAACCTCCAGTTAATGCCCCCCTGTCAACAAACTGCAGGCTTTCCCCTCGTATTCCCATTTTCACACACACACACACACACACACACACACACACACAAGGATATAGGCAGTGATGACTTTGATAGAATAGGCGTCCATGGTTTAGTTCAAAGACACTCACTGGTCAAGGTTGGTCTCACTGCTTCTCCAGCTTTAGATCCACACTTCAGTCTCCTAGGCTTCACAGCATGTCGGACAGTTTGCTTATAGGAGATGGAAAAGCCAACCTCCCACACTCTGACTTAAGCAGGAGAAACTAAAAGATGTTTATTGGGTCATATACTGGGATGTCTGGGCGTGAACTTGGAAATAGATTGGATTCAGGGCTCAAAATCAACGCTCATCATCCTTGGACTCTGTCTCTTGGATCTCCCCTCCTCACCTTAGACTCCTGTGAGCAAGATGGTGGTTTCAGTCCAGGCTGAGAGGGGAGTTGAGTCTGTTCTCCCTCTCAGCAAAGGCCTCTGTGGCCCATGGGCTCTGGCGGCCCAGGGCCGCTTTTTCATCCCTGCTTGGGAGCCTTGTGGCCCCAGTAATCTGGCACAGTGATTGGCTTAGGCGGGGATGTGTGCTCCTCCCTGAAGCCTGTGTTTCGGAACCTTGACTTGATCGTGGAGGGGGATGGGCCCCAAACAAGCCCGGGGAGCCATTTCCTGAAGGCAGAAGAAAGGATATCGGGGATGCCAAGATCCAGAGTCCTTGGTTCCTCCATGGTGCCCCTCGAGTGGTCATTCATTCAGGATGTAAGTGCAGTGGGAGGGATTTGGGGTTCTAACCGACTCTCGGGGAAAGCTAACTCATTTCATCCCGGGACCACCAGCGGCAAACAGGGAACTACAGGTAGTCCAAGAACAGTAGCCAGTGATCCCAAAGCCTGGCTCTAGTCATGGGTTGTGGCCAGTTTATCTGCCTTCAGTGAGGGGGCGAGGAGGAGGCCGGGTGTGACCCCTTCTCTGGCCCTGAGTAAGGGAAGGAGTTTGAGTGGAGAAAAGACCACAGACGGGCAGGTAGGAGCTGGCAGAGATGGAGGGCTTCCTTCAAAAGCCAGTCATGGGATTCATATTTGTAAAATTGATTGTCTTTATTGCAAATTATCTGTGCCGGTTTAGGTCAAGGGTATATATTTTCTTCATCCACAGACCTGAATAGTTTGGGAGGCAAATGTCCTTCTCTGCCAGGCTGGGCGAACAGCCGTTGGATGTGCCGACAGGCCCCGTGGGATCGTTAGTCTCCTGTTAAACCTTTTATGGTTTGCTTTTTTGGTTTTGCTTTTTTGAGAAAACTCAGGTTAAATATTTATTGTGGAGGAAAGGAATGCTGCTGCTTCCTCCTGCTTCTCTTACTTTGTTGCTATTAGCTGTTTAATAGGCAGTAGCATGCAAATAGTATAAAACCTAAAAGATACGAAACGCTGTGCTGAAGAGTCTGTCCGCCCTGGAACCTCTGCCCCCACCCCCACCCCAGTGTCCGTCCCTGTGACCAGTTTCCATTGCATCCGTCCTGGGAGAGTCTACACACTGTTTCTTTTTCACAGAGAAATGGGCCATTGCATTCTTCCTGACAGAGTCCAGAAAATGGACCACAAACACATCATTGAAGGACAACTTATTCTTTTCTTCTTTAAATGAAACAATTATAGTTTTCCACCACATTGACTTTAAAGCATCCAAGTTAAGGCCACAGAGTCAAAGAAGCAAATGAGATCTCACCTCCAGTCAGCTAACCTGTTGACCTCTAATGAATGCTCACTGGTTCCAGAGGTTTGTACTCATCCATGGGTTCCCTCTCCACTGTGTTCCCCCATCTGCAGGGCCTGCGCCTTGAGCTGCTCCCTAGCACGTTTGACCAGAAGCGGCCTCACTCAGCATTGTTCAACAAACGCCCCTTCGCCTTGTTGGCTGTCTGTGCTCCAAGTGGCCCACAGTTTCCATAATTAAAGCCCATCCTCTAAGGTCGAGATTTGTCACCACGGAGGGTGTACCAAAGCTGCTGGTTCAGAACCTGAAGGCGTTCCTGCCAGAACAGTCCAGAAACTCCCAACCAAGGGCTCAGCTCCCCTGGGGAGCGTGACGTGGCCCCTCTGTGCTCCGGCCTGGTGTGGGGCCCTGGGGCAGAGGGATGACTAGCCACAGTCCTCTTCCTTGAACAGCTGTGCAGCCCCGGGCAGCAGGCCCGAGTGCTGTAGTGACACAGTTGTTCAGTACCCCTCCTGTAGGTCTCAGTCCCCCTCCTGTGGGCCTCAGTCCCACGGGAGATGTCCGTGAATGAACGGCATTCACTTTAGACATAAAAGTGCTGCTGTGTGTGTTTGTTTATCGCTCTCTAGTCCCTTACCATGCAGCAGTTAGAGGGATGTGTAAATAATAATATTGGTAACAATCTTCACTTTCTGATGAGTATAAATAAAATAACTGCTGTGCACAGGGGTCAGGCCCCGTCCCAAGTTCTCCTAAGGTTAACCCCCAGAGAGCCCTGCGAGGTGGGGCTGAGTGTCACTCTCACTTCACAGGCAAGCCCTTGGCCTCAGAGAGAGGAAGTCAGCAGCTGAAGGTCACAAAATTTGGGCTCAGTGGAAGCAGCGTTCACGCCACGTCCTAAGGTGCCCATGCCTCAGGCCCTGCACAAACCACGGCCCACCTGGCACTGGGGAGCCACCAAGCCAGCCGCTGGCAATTTGTTACAAAATAAAAGTAGTTTTTGAGGTGGGCAATTAACTGTTTCTAGAAGAAGTCCTTGATTCCCAGTAGACAGCTTCTTACTATTGAACTAGATTTGTGTTCCAGCAAGAGGTAACATCATTGTTTAATTAAAAGGAACACCTCCGTTAGTTTGTAGTAGGGCCATGAGTTTTATTCTTGACACTCTCAGATGTGCAGAGAAAGGATAATGTCTTTATTTAAGGCTGCAACTGGTAGAAGCTCCACCCCCCTCTATGTCCTGGGGGCAGGGAAAAAGGGCAGCTCATAATGGAGTCTGATTTTTTAAACCAGTCTCTTGAGGTTTCCCTTGTTCCCTTCCCGATCTGAGAGGGGATGCAGGGAGGGGTGTGGGTAGGGGTATGGGAGAATTCAATCTGGGGCAAGGGTCCTCTGTCTTTGTTCTTGTCCTTGGGTGTGAGCTGGTGTCAAAGAGGACTGTTGCCTAGTGCTGTCCCTGGGCCATCCGGTATCTGCTGTACATCTGAGTGCATGCCTTCCCCACTCACTGCCTGGCTGGACATCCTTGCGGACTCGTTTACTGCT